AGGGCGCTTCACCTTGAAGAGCCATCGGCCGTCGACTACGTTCACCCCAGGTGGGGGAACTGCGTCGGCGAAGGTACCGGTGGATCTCCAAGATGCCATCTCCTGCTCCATGGTAGCTATCCACTGAGAGGCCCAGGGTCCCGTGGTGGCCTCAACGTAGGTGCGAGGGGTCAGGATGTCAAGGGCGTGTGGGTCACCCTCAGGGACTAGCAGCATGGAACAGATATGGGGAGCGGCCTCAGAAAGGAAAGCGAGCTCGTACTACCTATCCTCTAGGACGTCATTGCCAAGGGCAGCCACACCCCCGACGGACGGAGGGCAGGCAGGGTCAGAGACCTGAGCGGTGGCCCAGTCAAAGCGGCCGGTAGCGGCGAGTCAGTGACAGCAGCGACAAGAGCCGACAGACTCGAGACAGGAACGGACGGGTCGGTAACAAGAGAGGCAAGGACACGAGGAACAAGGGGACGCGCAGCACGGAGGAAGTCAGAGAACGGGGGCAGGGCCATACCAAGCGACGACGGAGGTGGAGACAGGAGGAGCGGAGGAGCACGAGACGTGTGGGAGCGAAGCAACATAGGGTGAGATTACTGAACTGGGGAGGTAGGACGAGCACGAGACGGAAGACGAGACCAGACGTGAGACGGAGGAGTCGGGTCAGGAGAGAGCGGAGGAGACAGAGGAGGAGAATGGGGAGGGAAACGAGCTGGAGAGGAGTCCGAGGGAGGAAACACTGGGCTGTAGACCGACGGAGGAGGAGGCGGCGGCGACGGAGGAGGCACTGACAGGCGGTCAGGGGAAGAAAGATCGGGGAGGCGAAGAGCGGACACCGGCGACGACTGCTGCATGAATCCAACACCAAAACCTCTAGCGATAGCACGGCTCCCTCAGAGAAGCTCCACGCCAGCACCCCCAGAACGGGAACCCGCTCCAGTACCCGCTCCAGCATGCTTCCCAACACCCCCAAAACTCACAAACCCCAGCGGCGATGACGACGGCGGCTGCGGCGGCGACTGCGTCTCTAATAGCAACGGCAGTGACAGGGGAGGAGAAACCGAGGCGAGGAAAGGTAAGGGAAGGGATTCCGCCGAGCCGCGAGAGTCAGCAGACTCCTCGACAGGGACAACCGACGGGAGGGGGGTGACGTGAGACACACCAGACGGGGCAAGGCAGGGAGGGGGGGGAGCAGAGGCGACCTGTGGAGAGGGGGGAACCAAGAACTGGGGGGCAGTGATTGGGGGACCACGGTGGGGAATGCGGTGGTAGAAGGAGACGGACTCGTCAAAAGTGACGTTGCAAGAGTGAAAGAAACGGTGAGACAGCGGGTGGTAGAAGTGCCAGTCGGACGTATCGAGGGGGAAACCTAGGAAGACACAAGGGACAGTGCGGGCAGTGAGCTTGTCCGGGCCAGAGGCACGAACGTGAGCAAGGCAGCCCCAGACGTGGAACGCAGACGTGTTCCCAGGAGACTTGGTCCAGAAGACGGTCGGCCAAACCTGCGGCCGCTGAGAGTGCGGCCACATGTTAAGCTGGTGGGCGGCGTAGCGAACGGCGAACGGCCACAGAAAATGGGGTGCACCGGCATGGATTATGGAGGTTCGAGCCACCTCCATGACCAAGCCGATGCGTCGCTCAGCGACGCCATTCTGCTGCGGGGATTCCGGCAGGGTGAACGTCTGGGTGATGCCCTCCGCACGACAGAAGCGACCAAGGCAGGCAGAGGTGAACTCCCCACCACAGTTGGAGTGAAGACGCAAAATGGGGAGACCTCGGTGAACACGCGTAGAGACAAGCCAGGGGATGAGAGCGTCAGGCACGTCGGCCTTCTGCTCCAGGGAAAACACTGTGGTGTAGCGCGTGTAGTCGTCGACAAACACTAGGAAGTAGCGCTCTCGACGCGGCCCATGGATGGGGGCAGGGCTCTAGACGTTCATGTGCAGGATCTGCAACGGTGTGGCGGTGGGGGGGAACGAGGAGGAGTGAGGGGCACGGCGGAGCCGGCCCTCGACGCTGGGCATGCACGGCGGCGCTGGTGAGGAGGGTAGCGCGGGGAACGACTCAGGTAGACCTAAGACAAGACCGTGCTGAGACATGTGACGAATACGTGTAAGGGCAGGGTGACCTAGACGGTGGTGCCACAGAAGCGCCAGGTGAGTAAGCGACCGACACGAGCAAGCCGCAGCAACCTGGGTAGACGCAGACACCTGGGGAGACGTCCCAACCGAGGGGGACGTGGTGTCCAGCGTGAACAGGCCGGACACCGGGTCCCGGGGGAACGTGGTGAGGGGAGCACCAGTGGCGGCCTTGGTACAGACAATGTACCGCTCATGTTCAGGGAACGTAGTAGTGACGCCAAGGTCCTGGAGGGAGCCGACACCAACTAGGTTCCTAGAGAACGAGGGGATATGCAGGCCTCTAAGGGAGCCCGAAGGAACCACCAGACAGGGAAGGGTGGTGGAGCTACGGGCGACTATAGGACCTGAGGAAGGGTCTGCAAGGGCAACTGCGACGGGAGCGGCAAGCGGCGTAAGCATAGTGGAGTCCCTAAAGAAACACCGGGAAGCGCCGAAGTCGTGAAGGAGAGCGCGGCAGGGGTCGGAGGAGCGAGGGTGGAGCAAAGGCTAAACAAAGCAGGGGATTTTACGCCTGACGCAACAGGGGATTCTGAACTGGGCACGCTAGGCACACTTACACTTGGCAACACGGGGTAATAGGAATCAGTTACACTAGAGTCATCGACACACAGCACATACAAGGCACAGCTAATCTCATCCATGTCCATATCAAAGATCCTAACACCACGGCAGAGCAGACTATGCCAGTTGGGGAGGGCCGAAGCGAAGACGAAACAAGTTGTCTAGGCGACTGAAACAGCGAGTTGGGGTATGACCGGTCTTACCGCACACGAGGCCGCGGCGAGGACCGGTCTGGAGCTGGTACTCGCAGCGCCCGTCACTCGCACCACCACCCGACAATGAGCTATGCGCACGACCACCGCAACCACCATCACCATCACCAGCGCCAGGCCACCTAGGCGGGAGGCGGCCGACCCTCCGCTGCGACTGCTGCTGCTGCTGATGCTGCTGGTCAAGCTGTGGTGCCTGCTGCTGCTCCCGCTGGGCCTGCTGCTCCGAGGCACCAGCCCCAGCCCCCTTGTCTGTACTACCGCCTGCGGACGAACCACCTCCACCACCCCCTCCTCCACTACCCCCACCGCGCCCAGCCTTGGGGCGGCGAGCCTTACCATAACGGGAGTGTGCTGCTGCCACCGCGGCAGCGGTCTCAGCAGCTGGGGCTGTCTCAACTACAGCCGCAGAACTGTCAGAGTAAGTGCACTGGGCGGGAGCACAACCCAGAAAGATAGGGACCGGCGCAGAACCGCTAGACTGGACGATAGAGCGCTGACGGGTCTCTATGGCAGACAGGGTGTCGACAAAGTCGGAGAGGGTGGAGTCAGCGGGGTGCAAACTAAGAAAGTGGTCATGGGCAGTGGCAAGGCGGTCGGGGAGGCGGGTGGCAAGCAGGTAAAGGGTAGAGCAGATAGGGGGCTGGAACACACGAAGGCGGGCCTCAGTGCAGGCAGCTCGCCAGCTAGCGTCGACCGTGCGCAGGTGCGTGGCCAGGTCAGCGACAGTGGGGAAAGACGCGAGATCAGGGAAGAGCATGGGAAGGATTAGGCGGTCCGGAGAGGCAGAGGACGGGGTGGAATAACGCTCGACAACAGCCTCTAGGAACTCCTGCGCAGTCCTGACCAACCTAAAGCGGGGGCGCTCAGACAGGGGGAGGGCATGACTAATTGCGAGCTGCGCGACAGCGTCACGCGACAACCAGACAGCACGGGCAAGGGCAGCTGCGGCAACGGATTCACGGTCAGCAGACGTGGGGTCAGCGGGTAGAGCAGCAGGGGGGTCAGGGTAGGGGAGCATACCGTCGATGTGGACGGCCAGGGAGTGGCCGTCCTGCCGCTGACCGGTGAGGTGACGGCGGAGGTCGACGAGCCACGTGTCGAACTCAACCGGCTGACCCTCCGCATCAAAGCGCAGCACCGAGTCCGCCATCATGGTTGCTGTAGCAGCAGAAAGGCGGGTAGTGGGCTGTACTGAGCGACAGAGTGCGGCGGGAAGCAGTGGTGTGCGGTGTGGTGCAATGCAGTGCGGTAGACTGCGGTAGAGTGAAGTGCAGTACGGTAGGGTGTGGTGCGGTGCGGTGTAGTGCGGTGCAGGGCGGTGGAGTGCGGTGAAAAGGGCCGATGAAGCTAGGTGGGAGCCGGGGGGGGGGGGGGGGGGGGGGGGGGGGGGGGGGGGGGGGGGGCAGCTGAAGGACGGAGCCGCGAGGAGGCTGGGTGGGGAGGCTGCGGGGCGGTTGGTCAACAGGGGCCGCGTGGCGGCTAGGAGACAGGGCCGCGTGGCGGCTGGAAGACGGGGCCGCGTGGCGGTTGGGAGACGGGGCCCCGGGCGACGAGGTGACGGGGCTGGCTAGGCGGCTAGGTGACGGGGCCGACTGGGCGACGGGGCCGGCTCGGCGACTAGGCCGGCTGGGCGACGGGGCCGGCTGGCCGACGGGGCCGACTAGGCAACGGGGCCGGCTAGGCGACGGGGCCGGCTAGGCGATGGGGCCGGCTAGGCGATGGGGCCGGCTAGGCGACGGGGCCGGCTAGGCGACGAGGCCGCTAGGCGACGGGGCCGGCTGGGCTACGGGGCCGGCTGGGAGACGGGGCCAGCTAGGCGTTAGGTGACGGGGGCCACTAGGGGACGGCCCAACACGGGCGGGAGGGCGACGGGGCGGCTAGGACCTATGGCGGAAGCGCTGGTGGGCGGGGGGGACCTAACCTACACATGATACCATTTCAAAGTTACAAATGACTAGAACCATGGCATACAAGGGAATATAACCTAGTGGGTTGTACTCTCTAAGGCACAACCCTGTATAGTCTTTAACAACATACAATGATATATGTTTGACAGTTAGGCCTGTATAAGATAACCCCGTTGAAATGAAGCACGTTTACGAGTAGCATGAAATCAAGCTTTCTAGATTGGGCATTGACAATTTGGCACTGTAGAGCTGAAGTACGGTACAAGAGCATAGTGTAAGCATTTGGACTCTTCATATGTTGTCTAGCTCGGAATAGGACTGACGTGTCTGGAAATTGATAACCTGCCACAACTAATCTCTTGTTTCTGTGCGCGTCAACATGCCGTGCATAAAAAGGAAATCGTGAAGTGAAGGCTCCCGGGATGAAGAAACCACGCATTTTCCGATGGCCGGAAGACTGCTCTTGCTTCTCCAGTGAATGGAAAGAAAGTCACCAAAATTTTCGTCTCACTTGAGAGCACTGCCCAAACCAAACGATCCTGGTAAGTTACCTGCCAGCCAGCAAAACAACATATTGACGGCAACAACTTCACAGTACCAATACCTATAGAGATAAGCTCCAATACCAAGAAGAACGAGGATAAGTATCAGGTCGATGCAGAACTTCCTCGGTGACCGAACCTGGTGCGATGCAGTAAGCATTACAGCACGATGAAGGCAACGTAGGCAATACCTCCACACTAGTGTTCTCACCTCCGTAAGAATCTCCTTCAACCTCTTATTATTATTCTTCAAAGTTTGCGTCGTCGAGTTCACCTACAAAACCAATGTCCTTGAGTCACACTGTTCAACCATGGAAGAAAGAATGCCATTGGCAGATTCATACCTTGTTCTCTACTGCTTCTAGCATTGGCTCTTGACGATCCATTTCCTAAAAGAAAAAACGGGATGAGGAGTGCGCGTGCCGTTAGAGGAGCAGGAAAACAGGAACGTACCTCGTTCATGTCCTGGGCAAGATGCCTCAGTTTTTCAAGACCGCTAGAGATGTACTCCAGCTCGACATCCTGCGAGAAGATAGGATTAGGACATCATTCAGGCAGAATGGCGTAAATTCCTTCCATGAACACCATAATTCAAGAAGCCATTTTGTTGCTCAAATATCGACTCGCAGTACCTGCTTCTGGACTCGGCGAGTATATTCACTTCGGAATGCCCGAGACTCAGCCGTTGAAACAAAATGATCCCCTGTTGGTCCAGAGTCGCCTGAAATCACTGTCCACTGTTAGGCTACACATCTCAACAACCAGCGCATGTCAATTACTTACCCATTTCGAGAGCGTCAATTTGGACGTCTGAAATTCCCCGTGCAGACGCAACAGTCCTCCCAACGCCTCTAGCGATGCCATCAGGAATCGCCTGAACTTTTTCCAAAAGCATTCTGACCATTTCTGGCCTCCTCGCGGACTCGTCAGGAGAAACTCCTTTGACCTGGAGACCGTTACACTTTAACAAGCTGTCAAACGAATGCATGAAACATGATTCATCTTATTGAATACCTTCCTATGTGCGAGCCTTTCGAGCCTTTGAATCTCCTTTTGCAGAATGTCTTTAGCTCGCCTGATCTCGGCATTGAGGACCGCAACCTTGGCCAGATTCTTCTCAATGATAGCTCCATTGGATTTCTGCGACGGCGCATATGCAATTATCCACCAAATAGTACCAGAGGAGAACGTCGAAGCCACCACAATCCCTTACCTCGACCACCTCCTCCACTTCTACCGTAATCGCCGCGTACAGGGTCATGAAGCTGTCCGTCGCATCTTCTTTCGCAACTGTCTCCTTTGTATACGGCTCATAACGCCGTCTGATAACATCGACCCGGGTTAGGATGTCAGCAGCACTCATGGCTCCTGGAGTTCGGGTGAGCACTCTGAAGGCTTGAATTGCTGAATAACAGCAGACTCGAGTAAAGTCCTTCCGACCTGCAGGAAGTTGGAGCCTACAGGCAACCCAATACAGTGGCCCGCTCTTCTCAGCTGATGGCCCCTCTGCCACTCGCGCAGCGCTGGTTTAGCCGGAATTTGCTAACAATTGAGGTGATAAATCCCAAAAGTAAGTACACGAGTTCGAACGAGATAATCCCAAAAGATTCAAGTGATACACAAGTTTCGTTAAATATACCCAACAATTGTACACTTCCACGCCTTCTAGCAAGCCTCTAGCTAGTTATTGTGGGGAACCCTATGAAAGCCATTCCTAAGGTTGATGGTGGCTAGATTGCCCGCCAGAGGTGAAATCTACTAGCCGTTGGAGCAAGCCTGGCGAGCCATCAAAGCCATCAAGGCCTGCTGAAGCAAAAGCAGCAGCTATTGCTGCTGCATCAGAAGCCTTAGAAGCTGAGCTTGGCCCATCAAGACTCGAGAAGCAAGAAACACTCCGGCCAAATTGAGGCGCAGCAGCGTCAGGGAGAATTCCAGGCGAGGCAAACAGGGAATCGTGGCCAGATCCCTGCAATGCATACCCAGGCATCATAGGAACGGACAGAAGCATGCGCAACGGATAAGCTAACAGTCATATTATTGCCATGGACAGAGAAATGGGTAGGCGGGAAGGGAAATGCTCCACCATTCCTTGTAAGTTAAACAAAAGAATCGCATAAGAACCTCACCTTGAGCTGCTCCCCAATGGCTTGTTGCAGCTGTGCCAAGCTTGGCCGGGCATTCTCCCCCCCTTGCACCTGCTCACTCCCAACCCCCATCCCACTGGCCACCCCTCCCGTCCCTTGTGCTCCCGCACTACCCCCGTCCACCCCATTGGGACTCCCCTCCGACAGCCACGCAGCCACTAGATCTGCCACATTGGAGTCTAGAAGCTCCCCTGCGCCTGAACTACTCCCTGTTGCCCCTGCTCCTACTCCAGCTGCTGCTGCTGGTCCTGCTGTGACAGTGCCACCTGTATTTCCACCTGCAGCTGCGGCAGTCCCAGCACCAGCAGCAGCACTATTGCTACCACTGCTTGACGAAGTCGCATTCCCCTGGAAAGCACTAGCCTGGAACCTACTTGCCATCCCCCCAGCATGACCACCACCGCCCCCTCCCATGCCGCTATTCCTGTTCCCACCGAACCCACTACCCCTCATGCCACTGCTGCCGCCGCTCCTAGGAGGAGGGCGTTCCATGGGCATGCTGCGGCTGCGATTGAACCTTGCACTCGCCAGGTTCATCTTGAACGGCTGGCATGCAGGCACAGCCTGCCCAGGTGCGCCCCACCCCGAATTCCCCCCCCCTCCCCCCATTCCAGACTCTTCTGATGGGTCCAGCTCCCCACCTGCCCCACCCTCACCCGAACCTCCTGCAGGCGCCCATCCACCAGCCTTCACCAGATCTACCTCCCCCTGGAAGTCACCACTCTGGCCGAATGGGTGGTTCCTCCCTGTTCCCCCTCCTCCAGATCGGGGGGACAGATTGAGCTGGTTGGCCTGCAGCAGAGCCCGGCTCTGCTTGCTGCTGAAGCTGCCCCACAGCCCCGCTGCTGCTGCCACCTGCTGCTGCTGCTCCCCTCCCCCACCCCCTCCCCCTCCCCCGAACGCCTGTGGACGGGGTGGGCGCGGAGGGGGGAGAGGGGAAGGAGGAGGCGGGGAGTCTGCTTTGCCGTCCCCTCTGCTATCCCCCCTGCCGTCTGCCCTGCTGTCCCCTCTGCCATCTCCCCTGCTCTCTCCCCTGCTAGAGTTGAGACTAAGGCCTCCCACTAACTGGATCGTGCCGTCGATGATGGTAACCGGCGCGTCGGGTAACGGCCCAGCCACGCTGCGCCGGAGCGACGGCCGCAGGGAGCGGGACTGGGAGCGCGGGCTAGTGGGCCCCACACTGGCTATGGACCTCTTTTTAGACATGAGAGGGGGGAGGGTGAGGGATGCAGCTGCGCTTCTACCCCCGCCCAGCCCGCTTTTCTGCGGGACGAAGAGGCGTTCCGCCCGGCCTGCCTGGTGGTCCGGGGACGAGGCGCCCGAGGCTGGGAAGGCGGATCGGGGGTTGTCGCTGCAGGTTCGGCGCAGGTCCGGGAACCAGGAGGGGGAATTGGGGCTCTCGAGTTCCTCCTCCCCGTCTCCCCCCTCGTCCTGGTGTGCCTCCCTGATTCGCCCTGCCCCGATCTCCTCGGAGAATCCCAGCCGTGGACGGAACCGGAGCTCCTCGATCAACGGCTTGGATTTGCCGGGAGAGGGGGCGTGGTCCCAGCCAGTGCCCCAGGGGGCAGCAGGGGAAGGGAAGGCGCCAGGGAGGGAGAGGCCAGGAGCAGCAGTGGGAGCAGCTGTGGGGGCAGCAGTCGGGGCAGCAGTGGGGCTGGCAGTAGGGAGCGAAATGCCAGCACCAGAGGGGTGGGAAGTATGGGCAGTAGGAGCAGCCATGGTGTGCGCACTGTTTCCTGTAGGAGAGACTGATGCTGTGGGGACACCTGCAGTGGCTGCTGCTGCTGCTGCTGCTGCTGTGAGAGCTGACAACCCCTGAGCATGCTGCAACCCCTGATCCTGCACCAACCCCTGCATCTGATGCTGCATATACATGCTCGCCCCTCCACCAGCCATCCCTCCCGCCTCAAACGCCCCTCCCAGCGGCTTCAAACCCGCCCCAGCAGCTGACCTGGCACCGCCTGGACCTACAGCAGCATCAGCTACAGAAGGAGCAGCAGCAGCACTCGCTCCCACCACGAGCGCCTTCTCCTCGCCCTCCTCCAGGGCAAACACGTCGATCTCGTCCTCGTCCGCCCAGTCCAGGGGCCCCGGGTCGATGGACAGGTCCGGCAGCTTGCCATCCAGGGCGAAAGATGCAGCAGCGGAAGCAGGGTCCATGAGATCTAGCTCCGTGCTGCTGCTCCCTATGGCAGTCGCACCAAGCCCAGTCTGGCTTGCCTGCCCTGCTGCCCCTACCGCCTCTGCTGCCCCTCCTGCTGCCCCGCCTGCTGCCTGCATTCCAGCTGCTGCCTGCGCATTCCCAGCTGGCTGTGCCCCTGCGCTGCTGCTGCTGGGGGTGGCGTCAAGAGAGGGTGCGCCCATGGCCTGGGATTGCATGTTCAGCAGATGGAGCTGTAGGTCCAGAGCTTGCTGCATCTGCTGCAGCTGATGCTGCTGCTGCTGTTGCTGCTGCTGTTGCTGTTGCTGGTATTGCTGGTGTTGCTGCTGCTGCTGTTGTTGCTGCTGCTGCTGCTGCTGCTGCTGCTGCTGTTGATGCTGCTGCAGCAACTGCTGTAAGTGCTGCTGCGGCTGCTGCTGCATCTGCTGCTGCAGCATCGGTCGTGTGTTGCTGGCACCCTGAGCGTCCCCCTGAAGGCACTGCAGCAACCCACCATAAAAAAATACACACACACACACACGCATGCATTAGGCAGAAAATGAAGAAAGGGGTTGCGAAATCAACCTGGTTGCAAAACTAGGGGTTTTGAAAATCGGGATTCTATCTAGGGGTCAAGAGAACAGGATTCTAGGGGTTAAGGAGAGCACCCAGGTGCCCCAAGACTTTACCTTGAGCAGCAAAGCGAGCTGGTCAGCAGTTAGCACACTCGCCACTTGATCCAATGCTGACATACCGCCCCCTCCTGCTGCTGCTCCTCCTGCCCCTGCTGCTACTCCTGCTCCTGCTCCTCCACCACCCCTGGGGGAGGCGGCAGCAGCAGCAAGAGAGGGGTCCAGCACCAACTGCAGCAGCGCTAGCAGCTCAGCACCAGCTGCTCCCACTGCTGCCCCTCCTGTCCCCCCTGCTCTCCCCGCTGCGCCCAGATCTCCTCCTCCCTGCCCCCCTTCCTCCAGGCCTGATGTAGCTCGCCCCGGCACAGACGAGCTCTTGGCAAAGCGTGAGCGGGCGGGCAAGGAGTGGGCGGACGGGGAGCCGGCAGAGGAGGAGGACTGGGTGGGGTTGACAGCAGTGGTGGTGGGAGAAGGGGCGAGGAACGAGAGAGAGAGACCAGCCTGGGCCTGAGGACCACCCGTGCTGCCAGGAGCACCTATACCAGCAGCAGCAGCACCACCAGCGTTGCCACCGGCAGAATTACCTGCAACATTGGCACCAGCAGCGGTGACAGCATTGGCAGCAGCAGCGTGTGCAAACCCTGATGGCATTGAGAGGGTCCTCCCGGGCCCAGGCGCCAGCAGGGCCCGGGCAATCTCCTTCTGGAACTCCGCTGCTGCCCGGTCCAGCTCCGACCGTCGATCCGCCCCCCGGCCTGCATCCAACGGCCCAGATCGCGCGCCGAGAAACGAGCCCCTGTTGTGCTGGTGCGCCCGAGACTCTGCTCCTGAGAGGGAAGACGAGCGCATGAAACCAGCAGCACCCACCCCGCCTCCCCCCATCCCCCCTCCCCCCATCCCCCTCCCCCCATCCCCCCTCCTCCCATTCCCCCTGCTGCTGCCCCACCTGAGGGCAACGCTCCCCCCACCCCCTGCCCCACCCCGCCCTGGTTCTCGTATCCTCCCTCTCCCTCCCCGCCTGAGCTGCCCCCGTCGGAGACAGAGCTTCCTGAGGGCGGCCAGGAGGGGTTACGGGGGAAAGCAGCTGCTGCTGCCGGCCTCTGAGCCGACCCAAACGACAAGGGAAACGCTGCTCCTCCGCCAGCTGCTCCGGCCGCCGCTCCCGCACCTACTGCTCCTCCGCCTGCTGCGGCCAAGGATCCTGCTCCTGCTCCCATCCCTCCCCCTACGGCTGCTGCGTGGCTGTTCGGCTGGGACACGGAGCGGGGGACGGCGGTTCTCATGGGTCCCTGGCCCATGCGGAGGGCCAGGCCTGCAGAGGAGGAGGGGGAGGCGGGCTCGCCCTTCACGAGCCCTTGCATGAGAGACTCCAGGCTGAACCCCATCCCCGCCCCTCCGCCCATGTCCATGCCTATGCGCCCCCCGATGCCTCCCCCCATGCCTCCCCCCATGCCCAATCCTGCGCTGAACGCGCCAGCCCCACCCCCCTGGAAGCTGTTCCCCCCGAACCCCCCCAGCGCCGCTCCGCCCCCCCCCATGCCTCCCCCCGCGCCAGTGGTGCCTGCCGCGCCTCCCAGCCCACCCTGGGTCTTGAGCGACTGGATGTAGCGGAGGAGAAGGGTGGGGCGCTGCACCGACTTGCTGCGAGACGACTCCTCCTGGCGTGTGGGAGGGTGGGGGGGGTGCGGTGGCAGAGGGGTAGAGTGGTGGGTGGGACGGGAGAGAGGGAGGGAGTGAGCGACTGGATGTACCTGGTGAGATGTGGGAGAGTTATTTAACTCCTACGATCGTTGCCTGCGCGACCAAACAGTTGAATTCACTCAAGCCTTCCTCAAACATCCCCTTCCCCTCCCCTAGCGCCTTATGGTGGAGTTCCAGTGGTTCTTAACGCTGTTGTCCGTGCGCCCCGGCAGCAGCTTTGCTATCTCCGCCCACTGCCTACCCAACGTTCCCCCCCCTTCTCCCACATCCCCATACCTTCCCCTTACCCCTTCTCTTCCCTCCCCCTCCCCCCCTCCCCCCCTCCCCCCCAAGTAGCGCACCTTGCGCCTTATGGTGGAATTCCAGTGATTTTTAACGCTGTTGTCCGTCCTCCCCGGCAGCAGCTTCGCTATCTCCGCCCACCGGTTCCCAAGCTTTCTGTGTGCTTCCACCAGCTTCGCCTCCTCCTCTTCCGTCCACGCGTCCTGCAGGGAGGGGTGGGTTGGAAGGGGGGAAAGGAAGAGGGGAAGTAGAGGAAGAGTTGTTAGGGCAGGCCAAGGAGGTGTCATGGCCCCTCGGAAGATGTTCCCCAGCTTCCTGTGCGCCTCCACCAGCTTCGCCTCCTCCTCTTCCGTCCACGCGTCCTGGGGTTGGGTCCGGAAAGAAGGGTTGGGGGGTGGGAGGGGGGGAGGGGGGGGTGTGCCGGTGAAGCTGTGAGGGCAGGGCAATGGGGAGTTACGGCCCCTCACAAAAGGTCCGGTGGCTTCCTGTGCGCCTCCACCAGCTTCGCCTCCCCCAGCTTCGCCTCCTTCTCCGTCCACGCGTCATGTGAGTGGGTGGAGGGAAGAAGAAGAAGGAAGGAAGCGGAGGAAGAGGAGGTGTGAGGGTGAACTAGAATGATGGGTACGAGCGACTACCCGACGTTCTGCGTGCTTTCGGAGGCTGTTTCTGTGTACTACTTTGATATTTTTAACGAGAAGGTTGAATATTCTCAGCAGAAGCAGCTCCGTCTTCTTCAGCCTTAGCTTTGATCTTTGATTTATGGATGAAGGCAGGAGGCGAATCTTATGTCTCACCTTCTTGATCCCGTGCTTCAGGTGGTTGTGCCTACCTAGCTCCCTGTTGCCGCTCGCGGCACTGCTTGCCCGCGCCCCCGTTGAGATGCTCTTACCTCAACTCCTATTTCACTCTCATCTCAACCCCCGGCTTGAGGTTTGGCCCTCCCTGTCTCACCCTCACCTTCCCAAGATGCTCGCATCTCACCTTTTTTATGCCGTGCTTCAGGTGGTTGTGCCACCGCTCGCGGCGCAGCTTCCCCCCCCTCCCATTGAGGCTTGTGGTGGCCTGAGGCTTGTCCCTCAAGCTCGGTGGCCTGAGGCTTGTCCCTCAGGCTCGGTGGCCCGAGGCTTGTCCCTCAGGCTCGGTGGCCTGAGGCTTGTCCCTCAGGCTCGGTGGCCTGAGGCTTGTCCCTCAGGCTCGGTGGCCTGAGGCTTGTCCCTCAGGCTCGGTGGCCTGAGGCTTGTCCCTCTCTGTCTCATCTCTCACCTTTTTTATGCCGTGCTTGAGGTGGTTGTGCCACCGCTCGCGGCACTGCTTGCCCGCGCGCCCCTTGAGATGCGCGGCGATGGCGGACCACCGCTGCGCGCCGTCCCGCTCCACCAGGCGCCGCAGTAGCTCGTCCTCCTCCTGAAGATTAAGGAGGGATGCATGAGGGAGAACGGAGGGTAAGTTGGAAATATTTATTTTAAGCAGACTCAAAACTCGCTCCAACAGGCGCCGCAGCAGCTCGTCCTCCTCCTGGCGGAAAGGTCAACGGGTAATGGGGTTGGGTGAGGGGAGAACGCGTTGGGTGGATGGGATCATAACTCTTTCACATGGATCAAAACTCGCTCCACCAGGCGCCGCAATAGCACGCCCTCCTCCTGGCCGATAAAAGAAAGCAGGGTTGGCGTTGGGTAACATAACAGGGGATAAACTATTGAGTCGACAGACCTCTCGCCACCTGCCGACGCAGGACCACAACCCCCTCCTGGCAGTTAAGGATAGTGGGCTAGCGGGCTGGCTAGCAGTCGCTCGTAAAACTAGACCCCAAGGAAGCAGATAATCGGACACCCCTGCAGCAAACAACAAAAGCTCTCTGAGGTCCTAGGGTTCGTCTACCACAGAGCTGTCGCCGGCGAATCGTCGCTCGTGGCATGAGCCGTTGACGAATCGTCGCTCGTCGCATGAGCCCCGACATCAGTCAACCAGCGGTGAGCTCGAGAACCAGGCGTGAGATCCCGGCTGCGACATTCAGGTGCGAATCTCCCAGTTCCGACGTGCAGCGAGGCGACGCATGCACTTCGTTACAGTGCGCTCATAGGAAGACGAGGTGACGTGCGGTGAGGTGAGGTGAGGTGAGGTGAGGTGAGGTGAGGTGCGGTGAGGTGAGGTGAGGTACCGCAGTGGACGATTTGTATCTGCGTTCATCAGCCCAACGCGAAAGATGAGGACTTGGATTCCGCGTAAAGAAACCTCAAAATCCAACGGATGACTTTTGAGTCGACTCAAAGAAACCTCAGAACCCGACGGATTCTGTAACGATTTTCGTGGCGCCGCCTCAAAGAAGGGCAAAACCTCAGAATCCGTACCAACGTCAATGGCCCCTTGGAGTTGGTGTTAGCTCATGGAAACTTCGTCCCCTTGGTTTTATCTTCAGAGGACGCCTCAGACACAAATCACAAGAATACGTACCGGCGTCCCTTGTCCCTTGGCGTTGGTGTTAACTCGCGAAAACATCATTTCCCGTGGTGTTGGTGTCTGAATCCAAAACCTAAGAATGCGTACCGGCGTCCACTGCCCCTTGGCGTTGGTGTTCGCGCGCGGAAACATCACTCCCGCATTCGCATCCTCGCCTCCTGAACCCTCGCCGTCGCTGCCGTCGCCAGCTGCCACGTCAGCCATCATCGAAGCACCAGTCGCCTGCTGTTCACCCTGCTGTTTCTGCTGCTGCTCTTGCTGCTGCTGAGATTCGCCTCCGTCTGAGGAAACTCTACCACAAGTTCCGTCAGCCATGGTCATAGCCGTATCTCTTCTAGACATCGTATTCTCAAACCCTAACGGATTCAACCAATCGGTTCCGTCACTTTTTACGACTACGCTCATCGTCCGTCCCGTATCCTCCACACCTGCAGAGCTACCCGCTCGTCCGAATGCTGGTTGATCCACCATCATTTTAGAGTCGGTCGCAAATGAATCTGGAAGATCAGCCATGACTTCTATCAAGAAGTCCTACGTGACGTTCGACGAGGGACAACAGGGGAAAAAAAAAAAAAAAAAAACTCTTTCAGCTGACAGTTAGAAGGCTGACATAACTCCACGTTGGATGCTCGTTAGAGGAATGATAATATTACCGTACACTCGCTCGAATGCCAACTGCCTAAGATGCGTAGAGTCCAGGTGCTACAGTGCACGTGGAAAGGGTATGCTGCTCCCTGCTATGGTTGCCGCTGCGCTTCCCCTTCCTCGGCTCCCCACAACTACAGAATTGCACGTAGAACTGCACCTTACAAGACGGAACTCGGGAGCACTCGCGGTAATGCATTTACGCAGCAACAGAAAGCATTTTGTCCTCCAGAAGCACGACTGGAGCAGGCAACCAATGCTGTTGACATCACAATGGAGGGAGGAAAGGGGACTTGTGGCTTGTCCTACAGCCTACTGTACTGCTTGCATCGACAGCAGGCCAATGGAGAGGAGCAGACGAATGGAGGTGTGAACAGTAAATTCTGCAGCGAATGGGTGGGTGGAACTGGGCTTGGATGGCAAGGGCAGAAAAAGGAGGGAGGGGGGGGGGGGGGGGGGGAATGTGAAGGGGGGATCGCTGCTGGGCCGTTGGAGGGGGATCGGGGGTTTGGCGCGGGGTGAATGTGAGGGAGGGCTCGACTTGTCAGTCTGATTGCTCATGAAAGAGGGGAAAGTGCGCTACGGCGGAGCAGTGCGGCGGATTTGCGCAAGGGCGGGAAGGCGGAAGGGAATTGCGGAGGGGGAAGCCTTCCCTGGCAGTGCGGGGGAGGTTCGCTCCTGTTTCCTTTCCTCCCCTGCCCTCGAGCCTTTCGGGACCGTGTTTATTGCGAGTGCGATGCCATGCCAACAGCGTTCTCGCAATGGGTGCGTGTTGTCGCAGCCTCGCTAGATGAGGGTGAAAAGATGCTGCTGCTTCATTGTTATTGGTTGACGAACATCGCATCTGATCTATGGCACGATTTGGTCACCACATGTTGATGCTTGTCCCCTGTCGCGGTCACGAGGAGAGAACTGACGGAAACGAACAAACCGACTGACAACCTCTTTCGCGGACGGCGAGGAAGTGCCACCACCGACCAAAACCCCACTTTGCCGTTTCGATACGTTTCTCACGGTTACAAGACGAGCGCACTCCACAATAGCGAGACGCTATACAGTTCTATCGTAACGCCATCATAGACATACGGGATAGAATAGTTACAAACCAAATAGAATGCTCTAGTAATATCATATACAATCTTTCAGCACTCATACCAATATACTTCCACTCCTCGTGCCTATCTGGAGGATGCGTGTGCTGATGATCAAACAGGCGGGGTGGAGTTTCTACAGGAGTCTTTCCAGCCCGTCAAGAGATGCTCTGAACTGAGAAGCTGACCGTGATACATGGCTGTGACGTTTAGGGCGCGTGTAAAGTGGAACGGCGGCTCCGTTGGTCTACTCCGTTGGGCCGCTCCGCTCGTCCGTTCGCCTGTCCGCTCTGCCCGTCGGGAGTTTTTTGGGCTGCTTAATATTCCCGTCGGGAGTTTTTTCGTCAAAGGTGATTCTAACGAGGCAAAACACATCTTGACTTCAAATTTTTAGACTGTTACAGACTGCTGAGCTCAACGATTCGCCAAAACGATAAAAACTTTACTGTTTATGGTGTGCGAAAAACAGTTCGCGATTTCGGGTTTGGCGAAACGCGATTTGAGGTTCGTGGGGCTTCGTGCTGGCGCGAGTCCTCAACTTTCAAGAATCTCTCGAGAAGTGCCCATCAATCAATTGGATCTTTTGTCACAAAACATTTTGCAGACACGCGATTCGCCACAGACTCACGGCTCCGTCTGTCCCGCTCGTCCGTTCGTTGGTGCTTTACTTTACACGCGCCCTTAAAACTAATAATGTACCGTAGTCTAAAAGTCTTTTTCTCCGTTTGTATGATTTCTTGTTTTCCTTGGAATCCAGGCCTCTCATCTCTTACCCATCGCCATTTCACAAGACCATCACACATTAGGGTTAGCAGCAGGGAGTTCATTGCCACTTACCCAAAAGCCGGTGATTAGTTCCTGACGAGACGGTAAGCCCAATGTAACAGGCGCTCACGTGACATCATCTAAAGAATTCGCGCTAAGGCGTCGTTAAGTTAGCCGGGCGCTGCAGAAATTTCGTCATTCCCAATGGCTCCTCCACCTCCGGGGAAAGATTTGGCCGACTACACCGCGAATGCGGGGAACGGCGGTCGCGCGGCGCAGCGGCGAGCGCAGCGGAACGAAAACGGCCCCATGGCCGTGATGGCTCCAGACGTATATACGGTTCGTTGCAACTTGCAGCCGACATAGTAGGTGACAGCGTTATCCTAAACATCGGTATTAGCAAAGTTTGGTACAAGACGAGCCTGCACCCAAGCGGTGCTGTGCGGTGCAGTATTTCTTTGCCTGTTTCGGTTCGGTCGCAGACTCGCGAGCTGCATGTGCCTCATTACCCCTCCTCCCCTCCCCTCTTTCCTCCTTGCCCTTCGTTGCATACCGTAATTATAATTTGCAGGCTGCCTTCATCCTCATTGTTGTCCTCCTCAATCTGTACAGAGTAAGCTTCTTTCGTCTCTTTATCTCTTGAAAGCCATGTTTCGTGTTGGTGCATAAATACGCCGACGCCTGCCCGTTTAGGCATGCCCATGCGTTCTCATTTCGCGCATTAGAGCGGCCAATCATCAAGCGTCCCCGCCTCAGTTAATTGACATCTTCCTCCTTGTATAATGTGTTATTCCAGGCATCTCTGTGTTGCTGCCGTTGCTAAAACGCAACCGTATCTTGTGTCTCTCAAGGTGCCCGAGGATGTGGTAAGCTTGAATATTTGTGCACCTTTTTTGCATAATCGTCCACCTGCTCGTGGTATTGGCACACCTTAGCATAAAATGAAGCATGCGTGTCCTTGGGGAGGCTTAGATGTGAATGCATGCATCATCACGCGTATGACACATTCAGACACTAAGCAGAGGCCATGTATGTTTGGCTGCTCCTTCAGTTGTACATATTTCTTCCCATCCCACCCACTGAAGCAGGTTTTGTTCCGTGCACAAGATAACTTGTGCGCATCTTGGTATATTCATCCAGGCCCCTATCTCGTCTGTTACACTTTCATACTGGTATATCGTCAACAAGATACTTATCAAATGCATGCTTGTGTTAACCTACCGTATTCTATGAAAGTAATTTCACGCCTCTTTCATCCATTTATATGACGAGAGTGTTTCTCGAGAAATGGATATTCTGGAGTCGCTTCCATTGTCAGTCACATATCACAATACCGAGGACAGGTCGTCCCCAGATTGTATGCCTGACATCCATGCTGCCTTGCCATTGCACTCGCTTGGTTTCACGAATTCTCTTCAGCCATGGCGGACCATCACCTTCTTCCCTCATCGCTTCTTCTCGCGCTTCTCGTTTTTCTGCTGTCCGCCGCACTTTCTCCCTGCACTGCCGCGCGTATGCGAATCCCGCGCTTCCCGGCTTCATTTCACAGACAGCAGAAAGGGCTGACAAACGCACGCCTGGATAGTGAAATTCATTATAACAATAATGAACCTCCCAGAGCAGGAGGTTCGGTTCGTGGCGGCTACGCCTGGAACGTGTCTTATTTCACTCAGAACCTCGACCACTTTTCCTTCACCCAGTCGAGCTACGCCACGTGGCAGCAGAAGTACATCTGGTGGGACGGCGCGTGGGGCGGCGCGGAAAGCGGCGCGCCGATTTTCGTGTACTGCGGGAACGAGGGGCCGATCCAGTGGTTCGTGGACAACGCGGGGTGGATCCGCGAGATCGCCGTCGAATTCGGCGCGCTTGTCGTCGGTCCCGAGGTACGCTTCGGAGTGTCAAGAACGTGGGGTGAATTCGGGGGGGGGAGGGGGGGGGGGGTTGTCGACGTGGGGCCGGAGGTACGCCCTCGGGTGGTGAAGAATGACTCTCGACTCAGAATGCGTGCGGCGTGGCATGGCTTGTGAGAGCATGCACGAGGAGAGCGAGGGGCCGATCCAGTGGTTCGTGGACAACGTGGTGTGGATCCGCGAAATCGCCCTCGAATTCGGCGCGCTTACCGTTGGGCCCGAGGTACGCCCTGGGGTATGGTTCTTTCTTGCGACGCTCAACTTACTAGACACCCGAGGTAGGCGCGAATCGACGCCATTCGACGTTCCACAGGAAGGCGCTCGGCGCACATTCCACCTGCCATCCGAATCTCACCACGTTTTCCCTGACACCACGTTTTCCCTGACACCACGTTTTCCCTGACATCCTGACACCCTGCCGTTACAATCTCACCACGTTTTCCCTTCCCCACATCTCACCACGTGTTCCCTCCCCCCCCTTCCCCCCCCTTTCCCCACATCTACCCCACGCCCTCCCTCTCCCACCCCCCGTTACAATCTCACCACGTTTTACCCTCCCCCCCCCTCCCCCCCCCGCCCGTTACAATCACACCCAGCACCGCTATTATGGCGAGTCCATGCCGTTCGGCTCGGAGAAGGAGTCGTTCAGCAACGCGTCGACGCGCGCATTCCTCACCACGGAGCAGGCCATGGCGGACATGGCCGTGCTGCTCACGCAACTGAAAGCTGACTTGTCGGCCCACAACTCGCCCATCATTCTCTTCGGCGGCTCCTACGGCGGCAGTAAGTGAAGGGCTCATAGTCAGTCCTGCTCTCCTGGTACGTGCCCCCCCCGGTGGCTGCAATTTCCTCACCACGGAGCAGCCCATGGCGGACATGGCAGTGCTGCTGCATGCAGTCAAGGCAAACTTGTCGGCTTACAACTCGCCTGTCATCCTCTTCGGTGGCTCGTACGGCGGCGGTAAATGATGGGCTCATAGTAAGTGCTGCTCTTTCAATACGTTGCTACCCCCATCGATGAATGCGCCGCGCCTCATACGTGCTCCCAACCTCCTCCTCCTCCTCCCTCTCATTTTCTCCTCCCTTCGTTTTGCACAACTTCCCGTGCAGTGCTGGCAGCGTGGTTTCGCCTCAAGTACCCCCACATCGCTGCTGGGGCCATTGCTGCATCAGCGCCCATCCTGCAGTATGAGGACATTGTGCCAAGCGATACCTTCTACCGCATAGTGTCACAAGACTTCAAGGTGGGTGTGACTGTAGTGCGTGTGACTGTAATGGGGATATCAACTAGGGGTTTAGATGAGGGCTTGTTGCTGCATCGACACCCATCCTGCAGTACGAGGACATCGTTCCCCCCGATACCTCCTACCGCATACTGTCACACGACTTCAAGGTGGATGTGACTGTAGTGTGTGTGTGTGACTGTAGTGTGTGTGTGACTGTAGTGTGTGTGTGTGACTGTAGTGTGTGTGTGTGTGTGTGTGACTGTAGTGTGTGTGTGACTGTAGTGTGTGTGTGTGACTGTAGTGTGTGTGTGTGTGTGTGACTGTAGTGTGTGTGTGTGACTGTAGTGTGTGTGTGTGTGCGTGACTGTAGTGTGTGTGTGTGTGTGACTGTAGTGTGTGTGTGTGACTGTAGTGTGTGTGTGTGTGTGACTGTAGTGTGTGTGTGTGTGACTGTAGTGTGTGTGTGTGACTGTAGTGTGTGTGTGTGACTGTAGTGTGTGTGTGTGACTGTAGTGTGTGTGTGTGCGTGACTGTAGTGTGTGTGTGTGACTGTAGTGTGTGTGTGTGACTGTAGTGTGTGTGTGTGCGTGACTGTAGTGTGTGTGTGTGACTGCAGTGTGTGTGTGTGACTGTAGTGTGTGTGTGTGACTGTAGTGTGTGTGTGTGTGACTGTAGTGTGTGTGTGTGTGACTGTAGTGTGTGTGTGTGACTAGTGTGTGTGTGTGACTGTAGTGTGTGTGTGACTGTAGTGTGTGTGTGTGACTGTAGTGTGTGTGTGTGTGTGTGTGACTGTAGTGTGTGTGTGTGACTGTAGTGTGTGTGTGTGTGTGTGACTGTAGTGTGTGTGTGTGACTGTAGTGTGTGTGTGTGTGCGTGACTGTAGTGTGTGTGTGTGTGTGACTGTAGTGTGTGTGTGTGACTGTAGTGTGTGTGTGTGTGTGACTGTAGTGTGTGTGTGTGTGACTGTAGAGTGTGTGTGTGACTGTAGTGTGTGTGTGTGTGACTGTAGTGTGTGTGTGTGCGTGACTGTAGTGTGTGTGTGTGACTGTAGTGTGTGTGTGTGTGACTGTAGTGTGTGTGTGTGCGTGACTGTAGTGTGTGTGTGTGTGACTGTAGTGTGTGTGTGTGACTGTAGTGTGTGTGTGTGACTGTAGTGTGTGTGTGTGTGACTGTAGTGTGTGTGTGTGTGACTGTAGTGTGTGTGTGTGACTAGTGTGTGTGTGTGACTGTAGTGTGTGTGTGACTGTAGTGTGTGTGTGTGACTGTAGTGTGTGTGTGTGTGTGTGTGACTGTAGTGTGTGTGTGTGACTGTAGTGTGTGTGTGTGACTGTAGTGTGTGTGTGTGTGTGTGTGTGACTGTAGTGTGTGTGTGTGACTGTAGTGTGTGTGTGTGTGCGTGACTGTAGTGTGTGTGTGTGGTGTTGGTGTGACTGTAGTGTGTGTGTGTGACTGTAGTGTGTGTGTGTGTGACTGTAGTGTGTGTGTGTGTGTTGTGACTGTAGTGTGTGTGTGTGTGACTGTAGTGTGTGTGTGTGACTGTAGTGTGTGTGTGTGACTGTAGTGTGTGTGTGTGACTGTAGTGTGTGTGGTGTGTGTGCGTGACTGTAGTGTGTGTGTGTGACTGTAGTGTGTGTGTGTGGACTGTAGTGTGTGTGTGTGACTGTAGTGTGTGGTGTGACTGTAGTGTGTGTGTGTGACTGTAGTGTGTGTGTGTGACTGTAGTGTGTGTGTGTGACTGTAGTGTGTGTGTGTGTGACTGTAGTGTGTGTGTGTGTGACTGTAGTGTGTGTGTGTGTGACTGTAGTGTGTGTGTGTGTGTGACTGTAGTGTGTGTGTGTGTGACTGTAGTGTGTGTGTGTGACTGTAGTGTGTGTGTGTGTGTGACTGTAGTGTGTGTGTGTGACTGTAGTGTGTGTGTGTGACTGTAGTGTGTGTGTGTGACTGTAGTGTGTGTGTGTGACTGTAGTGTGTGTGTGTGACTGTAGTGTGTGTGTGTGACTGTAGTGTGTGTGTGTGACTGTAGTGTGTGTGTGTGACTGTAGTGTGTGTGTGTGTGACTGTAGTGTGTGTGTGTGACTGTAGTGTGTGTGTGTGACTGTGTGTGTGTGACTGTAGTGTGTGTGTGACTGTAGTGTGTGTGTGTGACTGTAGTGTGTGTGTGTGTGTGACTGTAGTGTGTGTGTGTGTGACTGTAGTGTGTGTGTGTGACTGTAGTGTGTGTGTGTGACTGTAGTGTGTGTGTGTGTGACTGTAGTGTGTGTGTGTGTGACTGTAGTGTGTGTGTGTGACTGTAGTGTGTGTGTGTGACTGTAGTGTGTGTGTGTGACTGTAGTGTGTGTGTGTGACTGTAGTGTGTGTGTGTGACTGTAGTGTGTGTGTGTGACTGTAGTGTGTGTGTGTGACTGTAGTGTGTGTGTGTGTGACTGTAGTGTGTGTGTGTGACTGTAGTGTGTGTGTGTGTGACTGTAGTGTGTGTGTGTGACTGTAGTGTGTGTGTGTGACTGTAGTGTGTGTGTGTGACTGTAGTGTGTGTGTGTGTGACTGTAGTGTGTGTGTGTGTGACTGTAGTGTGTGTGTGTGACTGTAGTGTGTGTGTGTGACTGTAGTGTGTGTGTGTGTGACTGTAGTGTGTGTGTGTGACTGTAGTGTGTGTGTGTGTGACTGTAGTGTGTGTGTGTGACTGTAGTGTGTGTGTGTGACTGTAGTGTGTGTGTGACTGTAGTGTGTGTGTGTGACTGTAGTGTGTGTGTGTGTGTGTGTGACTGTAGTGTGTGTGTGTGACTGTAGTGTGTGTGTGTGTGTGTGACTGTAGTGTGTGTGTGTGACTGTAGTGTGTGTGTGTGTGGTGACTGTAGTGTGTGTGTGTGTGACTGTAGTGTGTGTGTGTGACTGTAGTGTGTGTGTGTGTGTGACTGTAGTGTGTGTGTGTGACTGTAGTGTGTGTGGTGTGTGTGTGTGTGTGACTGTAGTGTGTGTGTGTGTGACTGTAGTGTGTGTGTGTGTGACTGTAGTGTGTGTGTGTGTGACTGTAGTGTGTGTGTGTGTGACTGTAGTGTGTGTGTGTGTGTGACTGTAGTGTGTGTGTGTGACTGTAGTGTGTGTGTGTGTGACTGTAGTGTGTGTGTGTGACTGTAGTGTGTGTGTGTGACTGTAGTGTGGTGTGTGTGTGTGGACTGTAGTGTGTGTGTGTGACTGTAGTGTGTGTGTGTGTGTGTGTGACTGTAGTGTGTGTGTGTGACTGTAGTGTGTGTGTGTGACTGTAGTGTGTGTGTGTGTGTGTGACTGTAGTGTGTGTGTGTGACTGTAGTGTGTGTGTGTGTGCGTGACTGTAGTGGTGTGTGTGTGTGTGTGTGGTGTGTGTGTGTGTGTGTGTGTGTGTGTGTGTGTGTGTGACTGTAGTGTGTGTGTGTGTGACTGTAGTGTGTGTGTGTGACTGTAGTGGTGTGTGTGGTGACTGTAGTGTGTGTGTGTGTGACTGTAGTGTGTGTGTGTGTGACTGTAGTGTGTGTGTGTGTGTGACTGTAGTGTGTGTGTGTGTGACTGTAGTGTGTGTGTGTGTGACTGTAGTGTGTGTGTGTGACTGTAGTGTGTGTGTGTGACTGTAGTGTGTGTGTGTGACTGTAGTGTGTGTGTGTGTGTGACTGTAGTGTGTGTGTGTGACTGTAGTGTGTGTGTGTGACTGTAGTGTGTGTGTGTGCGTGACTGTAGTGTGTGTGTGTGACTGTAGTGTGTGTGTGTGACTGTAGTGTGTGTGTGACTGTAGTGTGTGTGTGTGTGACTGTAGTGTGTGTGTGTGACTGTAATAGGGGATATGAATCAGGGAATCAAAGCTTGTTGCTGCGTCGACACCCATCCTGGAGTATGAGGACATTGTCCCGCCGATGCCTTCTACCGCATACTGTCACATGACTTCAAGGTGGGCAAGTGTGTGTGACTGTAGTGGGGAACTTTTGAGGCGATGACAGCTAGTTGCTGCTGCATTGGCGCCCATCCTGCAGTATGAGGACACCATCCCCCCAGTACCTCCTACCGCATCGTGCCACGCAGCGACAAGGTGGGCTGATATGATATGACTGCAATGGAGAGTGAAATAGAATAGAAAAGCTCGCTTCACAGTCCCATGCCATGCCATGCCATGCCATGCCATGCCATACCATACCATGCCATACCATGCCATCCCATGCCATCCCATGCCATCCCATGCCATCCCATGCCATCCCATGCCATCCCATGCCATCCCATGCCATCCCATGCCATCCCATGCCAAGCCATGCCATCCCATGCCATCCCATGCCAAGCCATGCCATCCCATGCCATCCCATGCCAAGCCATGCCATCCCATGCCATCCCATGCCATCCCATGCCATCCCATGCCAAGCCATGCCATCCCATGCCATCCCATGCCAAGCCATGCCATCCCATGCCATCCCATGCCAAGCCATGCCATCCCATGCCATGCCAAGCCATGCCATCCCATGCCAAGCCATGCCATCCCATGCCAAGCCATGCCATCCCATGCCACACTACTCAGATGGAGAGCGAGAGCTGCTTCGAGGCCATCAGGAGCAGCTGGGCGGATGATGGCAGAGGCAGGGAGCAACTGAGGGCGGGCTCACCTGAATACCATGCCCGGCTCTCACCCCTTGCCAATCTCATGCAGATGGAGAGCGAGAGCTGCTTCGAGGCCATCAGGAGCAGCTGGGCGGCGATCAGGGAGGAGGCAGCAACTGGGGAAGGTCTCACCCGCCTCTCAGAACAGTTCCACTTGTGCAGGTGGGAAGGGTGCGAGGGACGTGTGCTGCATGCATGCGATTGGATGCCTCATGCCTGTGGCATGAATGCATGCAGTGGGCGATATGCATGTATTTCTCTTGTCCCATTTCCTCCCCTCATGGCGATGGTGATATTGGGGCGCTCTTTTCATGGCATATCCATGGCTCACCACCCTCCCATTCCTCTCCTCTCTTGCCCACGTCCCTCCCTTCCCCTTGATGAGATGGCAATGGTGGGATACTCTTTTTGTGGCATATCCATGGCTCACCAGGGTGTTTTTGAAAATTCTCAAAAGCACCCTCCGCTTCCTCTCCTCTCATCTCTTCCCCACACCCCTTCCTTCCCTTTGACCGGTGCAGGCGAGTTAATTGAATGGTTGTAGGAGAGTACTTGGAGGCGGCCTTCACATGCATTGCCATGGTGGGCTACCCTGTGGCCTCTGCATACTGCGTCTCCTTCCCATACTTGTTGTCCACTCCTCCCAGCCCTTTGACCAGTGCAGGCGACCTGATAGCCTGGCTGGATGCGGCCTACACGCACATTGCCATGTTGAACTACTCTGTGCCCTCTGCATTATGCACCTCTGTCCTAGCCTTCCGAGCCCTGTTGTCCACTCCTCCCAGCCCAGCCCTTTGACGAGTGCATACGACAGGATAGCGTGGTTGGAGACAGCCTTCACATGCAGTGCCATGCTGGACACCCCATTTCCTCTGCCCAACGCACCTCCTTCCCATACTTGTTTCTCTCCCCTTCTCTCCTCCCAGCCCTTTGACCAGTGCAGACGACGCTATAGCCTGGCTCGAAATGGCCTCTTCACAGACACGGCCATGGTGGACTACTCCGTGCCATCCAATCCAAAATCTCCCCTCCATTGCTCCTCTCCTCTCCTCTCCGCTCCTCTCCTCTCCCCTCTCTTCATCTCTCAGTCCCTTAACCAGCGCGGATGACCTGATAGCGTGGCTGGAGACCGCTTATGTATACATGGCCATGGTGGACTACCCTGTGCCCTCCGACTTCCTCATGCCGCTGCCGGCCCACCCCATTCGAGAGGTATGAATCGGGTGGAGGGATTGACAACCTGCATGGGTGTGCCCCTTAGCCATGGTGGACTACCCTGTGCCCTCTGACTTCTTCATGCTTCTCCCTGGGCACCCCATTCTAGAGGTTAGTTCATACCATGCCATGCCATGCCATGCTGGAGGTTGACCGCAGTGAAGCAACTGCCATGCACATGGCATCCACCACACTACCTGAGTCGACTGAAATCATATGCGGGGGACACACATATACGAGAGGTAAGGTGTTGTATGCCATACCATGCTGGAGGTGGAGGTGTAGTGAATCAACTGCCATGTACATGTGGTGCTAACTTATGCATTTTCCCCTTAGGTTCATGCACCCCTCATGCCACCAGACTCCAACCTCCTGGAGGGAGTTTCCGAACTAGTATAGGCGTGTACTACAACCAGCCCAACTTCTCAGCTCGTTCTCATGTCCTCTTCTCCCTCTTCTCCCTCTTCTCCCTCTTCTCCCTCTTCTCCCTCTTCTCCCTCTTCTCCCTCTTCTCCCTCTTCTCCCTCTTCTCCCTCTTCTCCCTCTTCTCCTCTTCTCCCTCTTCTCCCTCTTCTCCCTCTTCTCCCTCTTCTCCCTCTTCTCCCTCTTCTCCCTCTTCTCCCTCTTCTCCCTCTTCTCCCTCTTCTCCCTCTTCTCCCTCTTCTCCCTCTTCTCCCTCTTCTCCCTCTTCTCCCTCTTCTCCCTCTTCTCCCTCTTCTCCCTCTTCTCTCTCTTCTCCCTCTTCTCCCTCTTCTCCCTCTTCTCCCTCTTCTCCCTCTTCTCTCTCTTCTCCCTCTTCTCCCTCTTCTCTCTCTTCTCCCTCTTCTCCCTCTTCTCCCTCTTCTCTCTCTTCTCCCTCTTCTCCCTCTTCTCCCTCTTCTCCCTCTTCTCCCTCTTCTCCCTCTTCTCCCTCTTCTCCCTCTTCTCCCTCTTCTCCCTCTTCTCCCTCTTCTCCCTCCGCTTGTGCCCCATGCGTTCAGCTCTGCAGGCGAGTTGACAGCCTGCCCTCAGGCTCCAACCTCTTGGACCGCATCTTTGCCGGTATCGGCGTGTACTACAACTACACGGGCTCCGAGGCGTGCTTCAACGTGCACGATGATGATCCGCATGACATGGCCAATGGGTGGGATTACCAGGTATGGCCATCCGCGAGTGGGACGACCAGGTATGGCCATCCGCGAGTGGGACGACCAGGTATGGCCATCCGCGAGTGGGACGACCAGGTATGGCCATCCGCGAGTGGGACGACCAGGTATGGCCATCCGCGAGTGGGACGACCAGGTATGGCCATCCGCGAGTGGGACGACCAGGTATGGCCATCCGCGAGTGGGACGACCAGGTATGGCCATCCGCGAGTGGGACGACCAGGTATGGCCATCCGCGAGTGGGACGACCAGGTATGGCCATCTGCGAGTGGGACTACAACCAGGTATGGCCATCCGCGAGTGGGACTACAACCAGGTATGGCCATCCGCGAGTGGGACGACCAGGTATGGCCATCCGCGAGTGGGACGACCAGGTATGGCCATCCGCGAGTGGGACGACCAGGTATGGCCATCCGCGAGTGGGACGACCAGGTATGGCCATCCGCGAGTGGGACGACCAGGTATGGCCATCCGCGAGTGGGACGACCAGGTATGGCCATCCGCGAGTGGGACGACCAGGTATGGCCATCCGCGAGTGGGATTACAACCAGGCATGGATGGGTTGGCTGGCATTTGTCTCGAAAGGAGTTGCAGGCACGCATGGCGAGCGAATTGCTGTGGCAGTGGCACTGCAATGATCTGTTCTAAGCTTGAGGATCAGAGGTCGACACAGTCTTGGAACAGATTGTTGCAGTACAGTGCAGTGCAGTACAGTGCAGTGCAGTGCCACTTTTACAGCGATTCGCTCGCCATGCGTGCAACACACGTCGAGCCACACAAGCTAGCTAACCGGATCACATGTGCTCGTCTTGTGTGTGAAACCGTTTGAGTCCTTTGTCGTTCCACTCTTTTGAGTCGACTCAAAAGTCACTTTGTCGTTTCACTCTTTCTTTCTTTCTCCCTCGTCTCTCTCCCTTCGCTCCCACTAGGCGTGCACAGAGCATGTGATGCCCATGAGCAGCAGCACCAGCAGCAGCCCGTTGTGCTCGTTGACTGGAGCCAGACGGTCTTGGAGCAGCAGTGCCTGACCTCCCCTCCCCCCCTTCATTCCACCTCAACACCCACCAGGCGTGCACGGAACACGTGATGCCAATGAGCAGCAACGCCAGCATCAGCCTCTTGGAACCCTTTTGACTGGAACCAGACAGCCTTTGAGCAGCAGTGCCTGACTCTCCCCCCTCTTCCCCTCCCCCTCTCTCCTCCTTCCCCATGTGACACACCCTCTACTAGGCGTGGACGGAGCACATGATGCCGATGAGCAGCAGTAGCCTCTTTGTTGAACCCTTCAACTGGAACCAGACGGCCTTTGAGCGGCAGTGCCTGACACCCTCCCTTTCCCCTTCCTCTTCCCTTCTCCTTGTGCACCCACCAGGCATGCACAGAGCACGTGATGCCAATGAGCAGCAACGCCAGCAACAGCCTCTTTGAACCCTTCGACTGGAACCAGACGGCGTTTGAGGAGATGTGCCTGAAGCAGTACGGGGTGGCTCCTAGACCGACTTGGGCCATGACCCAGTTTGGCGGGCGGGTGAGTGACTTGGAGACCAGCAAGTGTCATGTTTTGAATGCTTGAAGCAGGAGTGACTGCAGCAGTGACTGCAGCAGTGACTGCAGCAGTGACTGCAGCAGTGTCTGCAGCAGTGCCTGCAGCAGTATGGGGTGGCTCCCAGGCCCACCCGGGCAAGGATCCAGTCAGATTTGAGTGGCCGTTTATTTGCCGCTCATCATTCGCAGTTTGATTTTCCGCTTTGCAAGCATCCGTACTTCTTCTTTTTGTATTTAACGAAGGAAAGAAGAAGAAGCACGGACGACTTCTTTCCAGAGCACCTGCCTTCAACACTTACGACTTTCGTGCTCTCCTCGCTGCCCTCCCCCCTTTCCCCCCCTTCGTCTACCCGCTTCCCCTTTCGATCAATAGCTCGGCCCTCCATCACTTCAGCAGCAGCACTGTCGTCTCTCTATGTCCTCCCTCCTCCCCCTCACTCACCCCTTTCCTCCCTTCCTCTGTCCCTTCCCCTTTCAGTCTATCCGCTCGGCCCTTCGTCACTTCGGGAGCAACATTGTCTTTTCCCAGGGGGACCTCGACCCGTGGAGTGGGGGAGGGTGAGTGAAGTATCTTGTTGGTTCAGGGGGTGATACAGTAAGGACTCAAGGCACGAGTCGGCCCTTCACCCACATTCCAACCATGTGCTGGTTCGTTGCAAGAAGGTGGTGGCAAGAGTGGTGGCACGAACCATTCGGTACAACATTTGCCAATTCCTCTGTTTCTCTTTCACTACGCGAAGGGAAAGAGAAGCAGAGGAATGTAGTCAAAAGCCAGAGCCAGTTGCGTTTTGGAAAAGCTGAGAGTAGTGTTGTTAAAGAGGAAAGGGGAATTCGTACAGCATGAAGCCAAGAAGGAAGCGCGCTTGAAGAGGATTATAGATCATGTCAAATAGATGAAGTGAACCTTTTTTTGACTCGAATGCAATCCTATTCACGCGTGCTTCCCCCTTGGCTTCATTCTTCGCGACTTCCTTTTCCTCCTTGACAACACTTCTCTCAGCTTTTCCAAGACCCGGTTTTGCTCTTTGACTACTCTTCTCTACTCTCTTTTCCTTCTTACAGCAGGCGTTGCACCAAGTCGTTCGTGTCTCCACCCTCCCACATTCCACCCTTTCAAATTCCACCCTCCCACACTCTACCCTCCCAAATTCCACCCTCCCACACTCCACCCTCCCACACTCCACCTTTGCATCTCGCTTCACATGAACCCGCTATCCAAGCTCTTGTCTTTACTCCCTCTCTTTTTTCCTCCTCTCTCCTCCCTCCCCCCATCCCCCCTCCGGCGCCATTTCCTCCTATCAGAGTGCTCGAGGATATTTCAGACACCATCGTCAGCCTTTCCATTCCCGATGGTAGGACTATCCCTCCCTCCCTCCCTCCCTCCCTCCCTCCCTCCCTCACTCACTCACTCACTCCTTTCTTACTCTGGTTCTGTTTGACTTGAAAAAGAACCATGAAATTTACTTCCCACATCTGTGGCACTCTTATCCCTGGTATGTACTCAAACACTGGCTTGAATACACAGCATTAATCTGCGTGCCTCTACTCCCGATGACCTCCCTTCCAATGCTCTCTCCCCCCCACCCTCCAATGCTCTCTCCGATTCAACCCCGCTCTCTTCTCTCTCCCCTCCCCCTCTGCTCTCTTCTCTCTCCCCCTGCTCTATCCCCTTCCCCCCTGCTCTCTTTCCTCTCTCCCTGCTCTCCCCCCCTCTTTCCCGCTCTCGTGTCTCTCTCTCTCTCCCTGCTTTCTCCCCTTCCCCCCTTCTCTCTTCTCTCTCCCCCTGATTTCTCCCCTCCCCCCCTGTTCTCTCCCTTCCCCCCCTGCTCTCTCCTCTGCTCCCCTGCTCTCTCCCCTGTTCTCCAGGCGCACACCACCTTGACCTGCCTGCCTCTACTTCCCTGCCGTGCCTTAATTCTTCCTTCCTTCCTGCTCCCAATTTTCTCCTTCGCCTCTCTCTCTGCCTCCAGGCGCACATCACCTTGACCTGCCTGCCTCTACTTCCCAGCCGTGCCTTTATTCCTCCTTCCTCCCCGCTCCCTCTTTGTCTCCTTCGCCCCTCTCTCTCTGCCTCCAGGCGCCCACCACCTTGACCTGCGGGCTTCTACTCCGGACGACCCCCCTTCGGTGCGCAAGCAGCGCAAGGAGGAGAAGAAGCACATCAAGAGGTGGATCAAGCAGTACCACAAGGACAGGGAGGAGGAGAGGGTGAATGGCTTTGGTTTCAGGTGAGTCCGCAAAGCGTTTTCGAGAACGAGCTTATTTCCGGTTGCTTGGCCTCATTTGCCCCACTCAACAGATCGTTTCCTCCTTAGCTTGTTTCATGCACCTCTGCATCCTCCTCCAATTACATCTCTTTCTTGTGTAATTCTTGCTGTAGGTGGTTTTTTAGAGTTCTAAAAAATCACCCGCAGCAGTCACAGCTCAGCACACCTCATCCATTCCCTTTTCTTGATGTAATCACTCCTCTTCCAACCCTATTTTTTTCCCTCCATCTTCCCCCCCCCCCTGCATTTCCCCTCTTTATCAACAGCTCATTTTCTTCATCCGAGGATTTCGTCTCCTTCTCCATCGTCCTCTTCGCCATCTCTCTCGCCGTACTCGCTACATCCGTCGTCATCTCCTTCTCTGCCCGTCGCTGCACCCATCAAATCTCCGCAGTCTACTCGCCCTCCCTGCGCTACCAGCTCATGGGAGTCAGGCAGTGACCATGCCGCCATGGCAGGCAGGCAGGCAGGCATGCAGCTCACCATTCTTGCTGCATCTGTCTCCGTCTCCGTCTACTCGCCCTTATTGCGCTGCCAGCTCATGGGAGTCAGGCAGCAACCATGCGTCTCTTGCTGCTCTCACTGCATCTGTCGGCGTCTCCTTCTATGCCGTGCACGGGGCTCACTGCGGTGCCACCATCTACTCACCCTCATTATGCCATCCCCTCACAGCCGCACAGCGGCGCAGCCCGAAGCATGTCTCTCTCGCCATTCCCGCCACCTCTGTTGCCATCTCCCTATGCCTTGCACGGGACTCCCGTGGTTGCAGAAACTGATTGAAAATAATTACTACTCAGCCATTTTCCTTTGAAGTTCTTATCGGAAGGGATTGTCAGAACTCAGTCAATAACCACTGAGTTAAAAGGGCTTGTTCAGTAGCAGGTAGGTGCGCCCATAACCCCCCAGGCTCTGCACCTGTGACCCTTCCCCAAGGATCTCAAGGGCAACCCCAGCGTCTCTTGACAGGGACGTCCTCCCCGACCTTGGATTACAAAGCACACTTTCAGCACCAGTCTTTAAGTGTGCTCCGTAATCCAAGATTGGGGAGGACATCGCTGTCAAGAGAAGTCACATCATATGCGATGCATTAGCTGCTGCTAATCGTTTTGCTGAGAGCCTGCTAAGCAAAGAACTGCATGTAAGATTGCTGTTGTAACACTGAATCAAGCAGGACAAGCTTCAGGAACGTTCCACGTGCTGTGCTGACCTGGCAGGCTAGCAGGTCTGCAGTGTGGACGGGCAGCCGCGTCAGAGTATGGGCTTTAAGAAAGGCGATTGACTCCAGTGCAAGCAAGCATCAGGAGTTCTCCAGGTGGTGCTGTGCTGTGCAAACCTCACAGGCTTGCAGGAGTGGAGATTGGGCAGCTGGCCGCATCGACAATGGGCTTCAGGGGAGGGTGTGGAGAGAGATTGAGTGCGGTTTCTGTGGGCAGAGCAGCCTAGGTGTGCTTCAAAACAAAGCTAGCTTGGCGGGGTATCTGCTTGGCGGGGAGAGAGGGCTCAGGTGTGCTGTGCTTGCATGGCAGCCTTTGATTGGACACTTCGTGGACAGCCACATCTGGGGATGGGCTTTAGGGGAGGGTGTGGAGAGAGATTGAATGCGGTTGCTCTAGTCAGAAATGCCTAGGTGTGCTTTGAGGCAAAGCAAACTTGGCAGTAAACTGTCTGGCGAAGAGAGAGGGCTCAGGTGTGCTGCGCTTGCCTGGCAGCCTTTGATTGGATCTTTGGAGGGCGGCCGCGTCTGGGTATGGGCTTGGGGGAGGGTGCAGAGGCAGATGCAGAGGCAGATGCAAGGTTGCCATGGAGAAAGCGAGTGGTGGAGGAGGAGGGGACGATCACCCGCTGGTCCTCTGCTTGATGGGGGGGGGATTGGGGGGGGAGGAGGGAGGAAGTCAATGGGTGAGCGGGAGGGAATAGAGGGTGCAGAAGCAGATGCAATGGTGCCGTGGAGAAAGTGAGTGGTGGAGGAGGAAGGGACAATCACCAGCTGGTCCTCTGCTTTGGGGGGGGAGTAAGAGGGAGGGAAGAAAGGAGGGAAATGCCATGTTCTCGTGGAGAAAGCAGGTGGTGGAGGAGGAAGGAGCAATGACCCGCTGGTCCTCTGATTTGGCGGATTTTTGAAAATCTCAAAAATCTGGAGGAGAGGTGGAGCGGACAAGCACCCGCTGGTCCTCTGCTTCGGGGGGAGGGGGGGAGAGGGGAGGGGGAGAATGAAACAGGAGGGGCCAATTGAGGGGGGCAAAAAAGAATAGAAAGGAGTCTATTTTCTAGGCGCCTCAAAAATAGCCTCCTAAAAATTAGACTCCCCACGTGTGGTGGTGGGGGGGGGGAGAGGGGGAGAGTGAAACAGGAGGGGCGAATTGAGGGGGACGAAATGAATAGAAAGGAGAGGGTGGCGGAGGTGGAAGGATGGATCACATACTGGTCCTCTGCTTGAGGAGTGAGAAGGGGGGATGAGAAGTAATAGAAGGGAGAGGGATGGAGGGAGGGAGGGAGGGAGGGAGGGAGGGAGGGATGGATGGAGGGAGGGAGGGAGGGAGGGAGGGAGGGAGGGAGGGAGGGAGGGAGGGAGGGAGGGAGGGAGGGAGGGAGGGAGGGAGGGAGGGAGGGAGGGAGGGAGGGAGGGAGGGAGGGAGGGAGGGAGGGAGGGAGCGAGGGCCTAAGAGGAAGGAGATGGGCAGAAGGGGGAGGAACAAGCTCTGACCCTCCCTGGAATGCAGACAACAATCCCTGAGTTAAGAAACCTTGCATGGGCTTTAAGCGAGATCACTGGCTTCTGAGAAACCTCACCTGCGAGAGGCACTGCCTCATTTGAGAGAAGATCCGCCAACTGGTTGCACTCCTGGGAGGTGGTGAGCGGCGATGCGTGGTGATGGGGGGTGATGCGTGGTGATGGGGGGTGACGGAAGATAGGAGAGAGTACAAGATGGTTCATGCCAAGCTGGTTGCACTTGTGGTGCGGCACAGAGAAGACGATGCAGGAAGCGGTGATGAGGAGGGGTGCAAAGCGGTGGATAACGATTCCCTGAACACGCAAATGAGCTGCTTAGCAGATGACCACTAATGCGAGTAATGGAGTTGGCACAGGTGCCATAACTCACCAGATGCTGGGATCACCCACTCACCCCCCTGCATGATTCACCCACCATAGGCACGACCTACCCTAGGCACGTGGCGGATGGCAATCTCTTGGAATTGGCACACCAGCTGCTGGGCATGCTTGCACGGCTCTCTCAGCATCTCCGCATTCACCTTCCACTTCTTCTGCACCTGCGAGGGCATGGATATGCATGGTTGTATGTGTTATGTGTTATATACAGAGGGCTCACGAGATGAGTGTGTCTGGGCATGCTTGCACGGCTCTCTCAGCATCTCCGCATTCACTTTCCACTTCTTCTGCACCTGGGAGTGTGTGTGTGGACGTGTAAGGAGTGCATACACATAACATCTTAAACGCGTGCATTAAATTGTGCTGTGCGTGCTTGCATGGCTCCCTTAACATCTCCACACTCCCCTTCCACTTCTTCTGCACCTGTGAGGGTGCATGTGAGGGGATGGGGGGTGGGAGAGATGGGATGACAAGAGCACACTCCCCGCATTCACCTTCCGTTTCTTCTGCACCTGTGTGGCATAAGGAAAGCACATATATAGCACATGTCTGCATGTGAGGGGACTTTTGAGTCGACTCAAAAGTCACCTCATATGTAGCACATGTGTGCATGTGAGGGGATGGGGGATGGGAAAGAGGGGACGACAAGCACGCACATCCCCGCATTCACCTTCCACTTCTTCTGCAACTATGTGGCATAAGGAAAGCTAATCCTCGGGGAAGCCTAGCTGAAAAAAAAAATAATAAAAAAAAAAAAAAATCCCATAGCACACTCTTGCATGAGTACTGTATGCAAATGCATGACATCATGTGCAAGCACGTTATCCCAACAGGACTATTGAATCCGCATACACCCTACATTTCACCCATCCCCTGCATCCCACCCATCCCACCCATCCCATCCATCCCACCTGCATGCACCCACCTGCATCACCACTAGCATGGAGTCCCCTTGCACGTGCAACCGCGTGATGCCAAGAGCCAGTGCCAACTCCAGGCCCCCTATGAACGCCCGGTACTCAGCCATGTTGCACGTGCCATGCCCCACGCCCTCCCTCATGCACACCAGCTGGTGGGGGGTGGACAAGGGGCGAGGAGGGGGGTGGAGAAGGGGGGAGGTGGAAAAGGGGAGGGAGAGTATGATGGGTCGGAATCAGCCAGTGCCATCTCCAACGCCCTTATGAACGCCCGGTACTCAGCCATGTTGCACGTGCCATGCCCCACGCCCTCCCTCATGCACACCAGCTGGTGGGGGGTGGACAAGGGGCGAGGAGGGGGGTGGACAAGGGGGGAGGTGGAAAAGGGGAGGGAGAGTATGGTGGGTCGGAATAAGCCATAGACATCTCCAACGCCCTTATGAACGCCCAGTATTCTGCCATGTTGCACGTGCCATGCCCCACGCCCTCCCTCATGCACACCAGCTGGTGACACGGGGAGGAGGGGGGAGAAGGGGGGAGGAGGAGGGGGGAAGGGAGGGAACCAGAGAGAAAGCAAAAGCCATCTGCACCCGCACAACGAGCGCGCGACACTCGCCCATGTTGCACGTAGCGTGGCCCATGTTACCACCAACTGGTGGGAATGGGAGAGGGGGGAAAGAGAGAAAGAGAGAAAAGCCAATGCCACATGCATAGCATACCACCAACTGGTGGGAATGGGAGAGGGGAGAAAGAGAGGAAAGCCAATGCCACATGCATAGCATACCACCAACTGGTGGGATGGGAAAAGGGAAGGTCCAGGAAAGGTTGAATTGGAGGGGAAGGGTGCAGAGGTGAGTGGCGTGTGAAGGAGAGCGGGCAGAGGGACATGAGGAGCGGAAGGGGGGTAAGGGTATTTGGATCTACGGCCATGCCTACCCTTGCGCCTGCACCCTAAACCCTCAATCTAACCATTCTCGTCCAGCTAGACTTACCTTTGCAGGCAAACCTACCTTTGCAGCTAATCAAGAGATTGCTAAATCTCGAGATTATCACAGTCAAAGCGCCTTATTACAGATTCTCAAGAATAGACGACTACAGATTATTTCAAGTCTGCTTCTCTCGAGGTTACCACAGCCAAGTCGCGAAATAAATCCACTATGCCCCTTGTTTTCCCAGCCGACTCACTGCTGGTCTTGCTGACCCACCTCTTTGCCCTAGGGTTTAGGGTAAACCCTGGACCTATACGCCCGAAACCCTAACTCACCTCGCTGCCCCGCTCATCCCACAACACAGACCCTGCCCCTGCCCGCCCTGGGTTGCCCTTGGACGCTCCATCAAACTCCATCCGGTAGAGCGCCTGGGGAAAAGAGGAGGAGCGAGGAGGGCGGAGGGGGGAAGGGGGGGGGAGGGAGGGAGAGAGGAGGAGAGGAGGGAGAGAGGAGGGGGGGAGGGAAGGATGGGGGAATGGATGGTCGGAACAAAGGATACGCCTTTGCTCCAGATCGGAGCCGGAGAAAAAGCACGGCACCGGCAGCCGTGCCCACCTTCGGCCAGTCAAGTGTGTGCGTGGAGGGAGGCACGGCTGCTGGTGTGAGAAGAGAGTCCACCTGAGACTGACCTGAGGATCCACCTGAGACGGACCTGAGCATGCACCTGAGACCAACCTGAGCATGCACCTGAGACCAACCTGAGAGTCTATTTGCAACCCCAGTGTCGCAATATGTGGCCGCATGTCCTCCCCTCTCCTCACCTTCACAGCCCCCTCCTCTCCCCCTACTCTCACACTCCCACCCTCCCCCACACCTCCCTCCTCCCCATCCCTCCCCCCTGCAGCAGAATATCCCCCTTCTCCCCGGCTCCCTGCATTTCCTTCTCCCCGGCTCCCTGCATTTCCTTCTCCCAGGCTCCCTGCATCCCCTTCTCCAAAGCTCCTAGCGTATCCTCCTCCCTGGCTCTCGGCATTCCCTCCTCCTAGGGCGGGGTGGAGAGGGAGGGAGAGAAGAAAAGGTGAAGCGGAGGGGGAGAGTGAGGGGGAGAGTGAGGGGGAGAGTGAGGGGGAGAGTGAGGGAGAGAGTGAGGGAGAGAGAACGGCAAGGGGAGGGAGAATTCCAGCCTAGCAGTGACAATTAGGAGGGGGAGGGAGAGGAGACGGGTGGAGACAGTGAGGGGGAGTGTGTGAGGGGGGAGGGGAGGGAACAGCAACCAGCAGCAGCAAGCTCTCTGAAGACTCACCAGCAGCCGCGCGATCTTCAGCTGCAGCAACGGCTGCATAACCGGTGGTGGCAGCAGCAGCAGCAGCATGTATATTGCCTTGGTTTGGGGCCTCAGCAGCGTGTTGGGGCGGAGAGGAGACGAAGACGTTAGCGAGGGCGAGGTAGGAGAGGGCTTGGTCAAGGGTGGGGAAGCTTTTGTGCTGGTTGCCCTTGAAATTGGTCACCTGGAGATGGAAGGGTGCGACAGCTTAGGGTTTGAGACAACAACGCCGGGAGACAGCACAAGATGAAAACTGTGATGCATGGTTTTCGCATATCAATAAATACGTTCTTTGGGCTCAATACCGGCTGCTGACCTGTCTTTGACATTCCGGCCACGTCAGATAGATCCCCGGCTGGTGTCCTTTCCGCACCGCGTAGTACTTAGTCTTAGAAGCGTCTTTGCCTGCACGACCCGGCGGCTTGGCCTTAGTCATCGCGATCTGCGCCAATAGCGTCACGCGGCGGCTCGTCAGTGAATGCAGCGCCGCGATGAGGCGCATTCGTTCCTCGTTCCTTCTGGTACTCCCTGCGCGTCTGGTCAGTACTTAGGACGCGGCGACAAGCGCTTTCGCTCTCTGTCCGATGGACCCCCCACACTACTGCACTGGCGAACAGCTAAATGTTACTCGATGACGGGCTTTCGCAAACGCGATACTAGAAATGCGATTGTCGCTGGCGTCCGTTCGCTCATGGTGACCGCCTCTACAGTGACGGCTAGCAGTTGTCTAATGTGATGACCGTTTGTCCTCCGCTACTGGTGACCGTTTGTCTATTTTCCCCTACCAAAACCTAATAGGTCGTTTCCTTCTCACAGCAACCCATCTCTTCCCCGCGTCGCGCAACCGAGGATCGTTGACACCTAACGATGGTCAAATACCTCTGTCCCCAAAAGTGGGTCCTTGCGAAATATATTCGATAAGGCAGAAGACGTTTAGAACGCACATTACTGTACTGTTACAGCACTATAGTAAAGTTGCCATCCACGTAAACAATAACGCAACCATATACGACTATATACTTCTCATGGCATTTGGGAAAATCAGATTCGGTTATGCATGACTACCTCATGACCTTTCACATTATTTTTTGTTAGATAAAACGATAAGAGCAATATTTGGAAGTAAAACTTAGACCTCCCACTAATGAGGGTGTGCACATACACGCATGAGAAGAGAGAGCTGGAGCGCAGCTGCCCAATTTCCCACTAAAAATTTCCGACGAAGGGCATGCCCCTACCCCCGTGTCCGTAGACTTCCCTTACGACACGAAATTAGGGACACACCCTAAGGTTCCCCTCTATAACTGCACCCTGGGGGTTGAGATCTCATTACCCTTTTACCACCCCATCGCCTGAGCAGAGCATCTACGGACGAGGCGAGGGCCTGAAAAGAGAGGCAACTCCGCCGATCGTGCCACGGACGGTATCACTCACGACCCCTCCGATTGCGCGTCCAATCCCACCGCGGCTACCAGCGGTACTGGCTCCAGATCCCGCAACCAGATCGGGGGGGATAAGCAGCGTGCTGGTGCCCTGGATCGTGAAGTCCGAGCCTACCCACAGGTTCGGCACCAGGAGCGCGGTCGGCAGCTTCGCGGCGCCTTGGAACGTGACGATCGGCTGGCCCTTGGGGCCGCGCTTCGTGACGATGTTTCCCTCGATGGTGTCGATCTCCGTCCCCGGGGGAATGTCGGTGAGGTTGCGGAAGAGGTAGCGTGTGGCGATGATGTTGTACGAGAGAATGGCGGTCTGCTGGTCCTTAGTGTAGCTATTTAGCGCCACGATGTTTGCTGGGAGTAGGATGGTTATGTCCGTCAGAGGGATCTGCTTTTTCACTGCGAAAGGGTGACGGGTTGGGGAAGCATGAGGTTTTTATGAGCGTCGGTATTTATGGCGAAGGCTTGGCTTCGAACGGGACAATTTCAGGAGAAGTGAGAGGGAGGAGACGAAAAGGGAGTTTGGTTTTGGAGAATCGTGGAATCAACAACTCAAACGGCGGCATTGATTCAGCTGAGACTTACGATAGTCGTCGACGAATTGGTGAATCGCTTGGTAATCCGGGCGTTGCGAGATGCTGGTGACGGCTCGATTCACTTCCTTGGTTTTGAGTGCGGACACTAGACTGCTGCTGTGCCATGATAGCACGATGATCGCTAGGAGAGCTACACGGTGGAACGACCCCATAGCCTAAAGGCTACGAAATCAGGAAATGGTGAAAGAGAAGCCGCGAAAGTAGCACGAAAAGGGAGCACGGAAAATAACCTAGCGCGCCTGCTTTCCGTGGGTTTGAGCTGATAGCTTTATATGGAGCTTTGTCCTGAAGTCAAGCGTACGGTGGAAAGGGTAGGCCTTCAGTAAGCAAGGGGGAATGGCAGTTGCCAACTGGGATGGTGATGGATGTGCAATGCTCGTCAATCTGCGCAATTTGAAGTGGAAATCCTGTAAGAGAAATCGAGTCGCGTACGACCACCTCCAGACGTTCTGACTGACGGCATCGCACACGGATTTCGTCCGAGTCTCTGCGAGGAAGGCTCGTCGTAGGGCCGGTGGTGATACCCAGATGCCCAGGGTGAGAGGTTTTCGCCTGTGATTGCGAAACCGTGTTCTGGCAGGTGGCTTGTAGGGGAGTTTGCTCCACTTGTCGGTTCACGATGGGCCACCTACGCTGGCTCTGTGAAAACCGTCGGCTCTCGCCGAAAGAACACCGCTGAACGGCGAGACTGTCGGTCGGCGAGTGGTGCCTGATGAGTTTTCGCTAATCGACCTCCTAGCGAAATGGGAAATGCTCTTTGAAGGTGACTCGCGAAAGAATTGCTCTACACCTCAGCTTCGGTTCAGACCAGGGCTGAAGTCAGGTTTTTTAACAGCTCTGGGGCTCAGGGCTCCCTTCTAATTTCACCCTGAAAACTCAGGGTCCGAATCTGAGCTGCTCTGTTTTTTTAGGGCCAGCCGAAAAAAATTCTCGGAGGGCGCACATTTCAAGGATCCTTCTTGAGGTTCTTCCACGCTCCGGGGCTCATCGGAGTCACGTGTGTTCTAGAGGTGTGTTGGAAGTACTCCTTCCCAACTATAGTTCTACCCTGGTAGCCGGGTCCTAGGAAGAGTGACGGGTGTTAGGGAGTATGAGAAACTCTATTCTAGGGGGTGTACCGGAGGGGAGGGTATTGGTAGTGGGAAAAATCAGGGTCGCAAAAAACTCTACTCAGATTTTCCTGGGTCGCCTTGAGACCTTCCCGGATTTTGTCCGGGCTGGGTTAAAAAGAACTCGTAGAAAATCAGGGCTGGTAAAAAACTACCTTAGAATTTCAGTCAAGTCGGGGCAAATGCTCTGATAACATATGCCCTGGTCCAAACTACCCACCAACGTGATCATCCGTATTTTGATATACGAGCTTGCGTTTGATTCAGTTTTCATAAACGATCTTTTGCATGACCTATGAGTCATTATTCATGATGTATGATTAATGTGAAAATGAGTTTTACGACCCTTTCTTTTCAATGAAGGCTTAAGAGGAGCACAAAATACCAATTTAGGTAGCACTACAACCGATCACATCCCCTAATTTTGTTGCAGACGCTAGACTTCTCAAAGAATCTTACTGTATCCACCCGGATAGGCTCCCCCACGGGAGACTGTGGTGCGGCTCGTTTCGTCGCGAGACTGACGCGAAGTTGAATCTGACCAGCTGTTTTAGAAACGGGCCCGAAAAAAATCGCCGAATCTGTTAAAGCTGCTGACCCAAAACGTATAGGATTAATAAACTTGACAGGGCAAAAAGTTTGTCAAGTCACACAGCAAGGGTGTAGAGCACGGGCTCAAGGAGGCGAGAGAAGGTCAGGGCTGTGTGAACATCGCAACTCCCCACGCGACAATTGCACAAATGACAGCAACAATGCAACCAATCAGGACGAGGGAAAGCCAAGATGTCATAACCAAGAGAAAAAACAAGAGGCGACGAGATCGTCTTAGGGTTGCGGAGCATTTCATGATGAGACTTTATTATACATAAAATGTTTTATTTCCATCACAACAAACATTTGATTTTTATTTCACAAACTTGAAAAAAAAACCAGCCCAATCGATTGCAATAGTTTGCTCCGCAACCCAAAAAATACAAAAAAAAAGAACAGTTACATGAGCGGAAACGGGGAATAAGGGGCGCACAAAACAAAAGAGGGGGGGTGGGGAAGAACGTAATGTGCCAACCAGCAGAGGCGATGGGCAATGGAGGGACAAGCGGCTAGGGGCGTGTCCCGCGCGTGCGTTTACACTACAAAACAAGGTACAGTTCTCGGATTTTTGTGTTGTAATCATGCCAGCTCTCCCGAGCACACCAAAAACGGACTCGCACTGGGCGCGGCACACCTTGTGAACACTTCACGAACTTCCCGAAACGACACCAGAACATAAAAATGGCAGCCAGCAGCTCACGCGGTTTCGCCAACTCCGAACGACACTCGCAAGCACGTAACGAAAAGCCCATGGGAATTCAGCTGTGATTTGGGAAATAAATCCCGCACGCTTGCACTTTTGGGTACAGCGTCACATTTTTGTGTCGCAATGCACGCTTCTTCGTACTGGCGGAAAATGCATTCGCGGGACACGACCTGAGAACAACATCACTTTCACTGGTTGAAGGGAATCGACACAAGGCAAGGTGATCCAAGTTGAGCGCACAATACCACCACGCGATACTGCAGCAGAGTGTTAAAATTATATAAGTTGTAATTTAATATAGGCTTGGTAGGTTGTTACTGAACCTTTCTGTAGAGGGTACAATCCCCTCCTTGTACTCCTCTCTCTTCCTAATCGTCCCCCTTCTTTCTCGATATTTTTCCTACTCTCCTAGCTAAACCCTGTCGCCACCTTCATGGCGGCCCTTTTCACTTCCTCCTAGCCTAGTGCTACTTTAACATGGTATCAGAGCAGGACGTCCTGCTCCCCTCCGTGCTTCCGCTGCGTTCTCGTTCACTGCCTTCCGACTTCCTGCCGTGCCGCCGTGGTGGCCATGCCCGTTCCTGCCGTGCCGTCGCGTCGTGACGCGTGGCGTCGATGCCATACTGCTGTGACGGCGCCGTGCATACAGTACCATCGCAGCGGCGACGTCCCACCACTGCATCGACGCCGCGATGTGTCGGCGTCGTAATGCTGCCGTGGCAGCGTCGTCGGACGGCAGCTTGCCGCGCGACGTTTATGGCGCCACCACACCTGCTGCCCGCACGCCAGCCTCAAGCGTGAGGCTGGACCACGCCCCGCCCCCCTTCCCCTGTGTCCTGTATCTTGCCGCAGCCGACGGCTGACTCCCGCCGGCCATCCCACCGTCGCGGGGCCTGGCCTCGTCACCGAGAGGTGCGGGTGCCGCCGCCGCCGCCGCTGTTGTCGAAGCCGCCGCCGCCGCCGCTGTCGCCGCTTGCGATGGGGCCACGCAGCCGCACGCCGCCACCGCCGCCGCTGTCGACACTGCCGCCGCTGCTGCCGTCGCCGCCGCAGCCCCTGCGGTCGACGTCGCCGCCTCACGCGCCGTGGGGTCGACCGACCTAGTGTTGCTGTCACTGTGGCTGGAATGGGGGTGCTAGGTTAGGGGGTGTGTGGTGTGTTGGGTGGGTGTGTGACTACCAAGCCTAAGGGGTGTGTTAAAATTGTATAAATTATAATCTAATATAGGCTTGGTAGGTTGTTACTGAACCTTTTTGTAGAGGGTACAATCCCCTCCTTGTACTCCTCTCTCTTCCTAATCGTCCCCCTTCTTTCTCGATATTTTTCCTACTCTCCTAGCTAAACCCTGTCGCCACCTTCATGGCGGCCCTTTTCACTTCCTCCTAGCCTAGTGTTACTTTAACACAGAGAACCGCAATGGTACCCACAACTAAGGGCATTAGACAGCAGTAGAAACCAAGATTAGCGGCAAGCAACGATAGACGACATTACCGGAGCGCGTAGTAAACTCCACAGCCGCGGAAAAGGCTGCGGGAGGGCAGCGCGACGCGAGTCCACGCGGACAGCATCATTGGAGGTCGTACAGCTCATGGCCTGCAAGCGACAAAAACAGGCAGGTGACAGGTGAGCGCATAGTCCCGGGGTGCTCTAGCAGCACGCGCAAAAAAGGGCAGGGGTAGCGCACGAAAGGAGGATAAAAAAAAAAAAAAAAAAAAAAAAAAACAAAACGAGAAAGGCAAGACGCGCATCGAAGGAGAGCAGATACTAGCGCAGCGGGAACCACACATGCACGCGTTGTTAAGCGACGCACACGTTGGGCCCCAACGCCAGACCAAGCCGGGCGTCGTGGCGCCACATTACCATACAACAGAGTCCAAAGAACAAAACGGGAGGTGAGGAGAGAGGAGAGGAAGGGGAGAGTTGAGTGGTGAGAAAGGGGAGGAAGGGGAGAGCAGAGAGGAGAGGAAGGGGAGAGCCGAGAAGAGAGGAAGGTGATAGCCGAGAAGAGAGGAAGATGAGAGCCGAGAAGAGAGGAAGGTGAGAGCTGAGACGAGAGGAAGGTGAGAGCCGAGAAGAGAGGAAGGTGAGAGCCGAGAAGAGAGGAAGGTGAGAGCCGAGAAGAGAGGAAGGTGAGAGCCGAGAAGAGAGGAGAGGAACGTGGGAGCCGAGGGGAGAGGAAGGGGAGAGCCGAGAGGAGTGGAAGGGGGGAGCCGAGAGGACAGGCAGGTGAGAGCTGAGAGGAGATGCAGGGGAGAGCTGGGGCGGAGAGAAGGGGAGAGCCGTGAAGAGAGGAAGGGGAGAGCCTAGAGGAGAGGAAGGGGGAAGCCGAGAGGACAGGCAGGTGAGAGCTGAGAGGAGATGCAGGGGAGAGCTGGGGCGGAGAGAAAGGGGAGAGCCGTGAAGAGAGGAAGGGGAGAGCCGAGAGGAGAGGAAGGGGGGAGCCGAGAGGACAGGCAGGTGAGAGCTGAGAGGAGATGCAGGGGAGAGCTGGGGCGGAGAGAAAGGGGAGAGCCGTGAAGAGAGGAAGGGGAGAGCCGAGAGGAGAGGAAGGGGAGAGCTGAGAAGCGAGGAAGGGGAGAGCCGAGAGGGGAGGAAGGGAGGTGCAGAGATGAGAGGAAGGGGAGAGCTTAGAGGAGGGGTAGGGGAGAGCCGAGAGGAGAGTAGGGGGAGAGCAAAGAGGAGAGGAAGGGGAGAGCCGAGATGAGAGGAGAGGAGGGGGGGAGCTGAGAGGAGAGGAAGGGGAGAGTCGAGAGGAGAAGAAGGGGAGAGCCGAGAAGAGAGGAAGGGGAGAGCAGAGAGGAGAGGAAGGGGAGAGCATAGAGGAGAGGTGACACAATGGGCAGCAGGGAGGTGAGTCAGGGGGGAAGCTGAGAGGCGACACAATGGGCAGCAGGGAGGTGAGTCAGTGGGGAAGTTGAGAGGCATCACAATGGGCACAAAGGAGGTGA